TAGTGGGGGATACCAAGAAGCCTGCTGGTGCACAGTCCCAGAGCAGGCACCGGGTGCTCGGGCAGGACCTGTTCCCACTGCTCAGACCTCACACCCGCTGTTTCGGGTACAGGGTGAAGGGGCGGGCTGATGCTCCTTGGAAGTTATTTCTTCCAAAAATGAGTTCCTGTCTCAGGTGGAAAGGTAGGTCTTTTGTTTGCCTCCCCTCCCCATCTTCTTTATTGACCTTCTTTCCCCCTTATAACACAACCTTAGTGACAGATGTTATATCTCACATGTTGCACCGCTCTGCTTCAGGCCCCGCGCAGGGAGCCCGTGCAGGCAGCCAGCACACCGCGTCGGCCGGCGCAGCACCCGCGTGTGAGCGCAGGGCGGCGGGAGGGGTGGCACAGGTGGAGGCACCCAGCTTGACCCAGCCCTCCGTGCTTCGCCAAGAGAAGCCACTTGAATGAAGAGCATGTGAAGTCAGTACCCCCCAGCTGAAGCCGGGCCAGCACCCCCAGCAGCACAGCCGGACAGCTCAGGCTGGTTTCTGAAACCGTGCTGGCTGTGACTCGGTCGAGCGCTATGCTTACATTAAAATGTCCCCTGCCTTTGCTGGTACTCATGCGGAAGTGCATGTGAAATACAAAGGCAAGAACAGGGTAAGGAGTCAGGACTTCTCAGGGCAGGCACCGATACCTTTCTCTCAAGTTGTTTCAGCTGTAAAACAGGGGTCACGATTCTTATCTACGTCACAAGGATTTAGGAGCCTGATTAGCTACAGCATGTAAAAGACTGGAGAAGTCTTACTGTGACTCTAGGACCAAACAGTAGAGAATGAGAGAGGCTGTCTTACAGGCATGTATTATGCTGCCCTGATTTTCTCCCTGTGTTATCGATCCAGCGGCTTGCTAAGATACAGCCCTGCCTGCTGTAGTGGTTTAATTCATTTTTAAGCATCATTATTTTTCATGTTGTGGTCTTCCCCTGCTTGGGGTGCTTCTCACTGCCCATCCCCAAAAATGTCCGTTCTTGTCTGTGTTTCATGGCGTGCACTGCTCCCATATGTGTGTGTGTGTGTACACCAGGGAGATGGAGAGGCAGCTTCAGCTACACTAAGCAATTAAACTCCGGTAGCTCAGGGATGAGCAGGAGGCCGTGATTTTCTTTTCCTTTGCAGTAATTGCCTCTGCAATCAGCTTTGATCACCCGAGAGCAGAGGAGATGAGTGCTGCAAGTTGACATCAGTGGTTTTAATATATCCATTTACATATACAGGAGCAGTGCAGCATACAGCTTTCCATAGCGCCTCTGACCTGAAACCATCGCCGCTCCATAGACACCTCATTTAATTTAATACTTCACCGCCACTGCGGAAGCCACAGGATGGGGATGGGAGGGGGGATAATCAAGCCCTCACTCTCTCGCTCTCGGTGAATGTCTGTAGAAATGACATGAAAGTAATTGCTTTTGAAAAGCAAAGCAGAAATGGCACAATTGATTCCACTTAAATGAGAGGAGAAGGGGTGGGGGTGGGGGATGTTCACCCTAAGCATGCCACCTTCTTCCCTGCTGCAAGCAAATCGCTTCGTGGGCCTGTGTGGGGACGAAGGAAAGGCGGGCTTGTCTCCAAACGGCACGCAGGGGAAGGAGGCGAGCTCAGACAGTGCTGCTTTGAGCAGGATACATCCTCTCAGCTAACTCGGGCCCAAAGACAGACGCTGCTTCATGAAGCCATACGACATCCCCTGTTGTCACAGGCATTTCTCTTGCTGGGGAGCTGGTAGGGACCCTCACGGCATTGAAAATCCTAGAATTATTCTGCCTCCAAAACCCACTCACCTGCCTTGCAGCTGGGGGAGGGGCTGTTTATCCTGCGTGCCGAGGAGACAGCCGTTCTCCTCCGTCTCTCATCCCTCTCAGATTATCCCTGTGGATAAAGCTGTGAGCCCAACGCTTGGAAGCTACCCAGCCCGGTGCCTGCTGGTGGATGCCCATCCTTCCGCCACGGGCCCTGCGCCTCCTCTGTGAGCTGCCCGGCGCACACCGCTGTCACCCCGTCAGTGGGAGCGGGGGCCCGGGGGTGCAGTGCCTGCGCCACGGGCTCCGGCCGGTGCTGACGGGGGGCTCCGCTGCCCCCCGCAGCCCTGTGCTGCTGGGCGGGTGTTGGGGTCACGGGGCTGCTGGAAGGGAGGCTGTTCAGCACCTGCAGCCCTCTCTGCCACGGTTTCCCTGGGCAAGCGGCCGGCTGTCGTTTGCTGTGTCCTCGGCCAGAGTGCCGGTGGCAGGGGGATCCTGGGGCCAGCTGTGCAGAGAGAAGTGCTTGCATGGATGTTAAGCACGTTGCTGCTCCTTGCCCTCTCAGAGACGGAGAACAAGCACTCCCTAGATGCTTCACTATTTGTTCTTCATCTTCTCTACATGGCAGCCAGCTGGTCTGTGCCCCATGCTCCAGTCACAGCCAACGCCTGGCTTTGCCGTTTTCCCAGTTGCTGGGAATGTCCCTGGCTGTTCATCCAGCCTCTACGAGTGGGCAGAGGCGGTCGAGGACTGCTGTGGCAATGTTGTGCCGGGGGTTGTGAGCGGGAGGTGGCATCTCAGCCCAGGAGCTATGGCTGGAGGCTGGCAGGCAGCGGTGCAGAGCTTCACAGCCTGGCACAGCAGAGAGAGAGTGGGAAGAAGGTTTTCTCTGTGCCAGGCTGAATGCGGTGGGGCAGGAAAGGTCTCCATGCCCCAGCACTTGTTCTGTTCTCTGGCAGATACAGGAAGAAACCACCACACAGGAGTCTCGGGGATTCTTCCCGGCTTGGGAAGGCTCAGATACGCTTGTACCAAGGCAAAGCCAAGGATCTGCAGAACGTCTCTAGTACTCTATTCGGCCTGTGCTCACACCGCGATGGAAGCCAGCTCTCACTGCTGACAGAGCGAGAGCCACCCGAGAGTCTGGCAGTCCTCTCTGCCCGGCACCAGAGCACGTCCTCGGCTCTTCAGAGCACGCGGTGCTCGCTGCTGGAGCCTGTCCCCAGCACAAAGATAGGCTCTACTATTGCAGTGCACAGGCCTGCAAGCACAAGTGCACACACGCAGATGCACTCAGCATTTAAGCATATTCTTTTTTCCCTTTTGGTGGGCGTTTTGCTGGACAGCTATAACCTTTTTCACTGTGGGCTTGAATGAGTTACCTGCATACAAAACACGGCTTGGAGGAATGCAGACTACTGTGCTACAAACAATGTCTCCAATACATCTTTAATGTAGACATTAATGTCATTTTATGTTAATTACATGCAAATTGATTATTAATGTATTTATTGAATGTTGACAGCTGGGTGACAGTCTTCAGTAAATATGTTTTACTAATCAGTTAGCATTTAATTAATATCGAAATTCTCTCTAGGTTTAGTAAGACAGTTAGCGAACATTAATTAGGCCCCTCGGCTGCAGCGTGCATTGCAGGACATCTGCGGTGCTGCTGACAGGGCTAGGCAGGCAGGTCGGCCCTGGGGGGGGCTGGGGCACTGCCAGCCGGACAGACGGACGCGTGCCCGGATGGGAGGACCCCCGACAGGCCGTGCCGCGGCCAGTGGGTGTGGAGCTGGTGGCGGGCGGGCAGGGCCCACGTCCACACGCGGCACCGCGCTCACCGGGGAGCTGCAGCCGTGCGCTTGCAGGGGCGAGCGGCAGGACAGGGCAGGGCAACGGCTCCGGGCAGCTCAGTGCCCGTGGGACCTCTGCTCTTTCCGTTTCTAGGAAGAGATGTATAACCTATAGGGACCTGTTGATAGGGGAGAAGAATACACTAGACCTCTTGTAGAAATCTGTTCTTTGCATGTCCTGCCTTGTCCCTGCAGAAGCACAGGCACTGCTCTCATCCAGTCTCCGTGGGATGTCTGCGGTGTCTTTACCTCTTTAGTGTTATCAGGAAGCTCTGGTGAGCCCCTTTCCCCGTGAAACAGGGCCGTTTCCAGCCACTCCTGAGCAGTAAATCATCATGCTGTTCCCACCTGCAGCGATCACTTTACTGCACGTAGGACCCTTGGTTATGGCAAGGCTTTGCACAGCCCCTGGCCGGCAGCGCACAGCATTTCTTAATGCTGAATTTAAAACACCAGGCAGATCGATTCTTGAGCAACATGGCCAGTGTTTTCACTTGCCTCCCTGTCATGCGCAGGGCAGGAGCCATGCAGAGCCTTTGCCCCTGCCCCACACGTTGGCACCCACAGGCTGTGGCTCCTCTCACCATTGGAAGATGACGAGCAGCATCCCTGAGCTGTCCGTTGCAAAGGCATCAGAGTCGGTGGCTGGGTTGCTGCTCCACATCAGGGCTGCTGCAGCACTGTTAGCTCCAGCAGATCAATACTTTAGTCTTGTCATGCTAATTGCTCCTTGGTTGACATTCATGATCCTTTCCTGCTCCCTCCCTGTGTAAACTCTTTACAGCTGGGATGCTAAGAAGTGAAAACACCGGGCCCTCAAAGCCCTCACCTGCTCAGGGAGGACCAGAGGAGTGAATAACCGAGCTGCTGGGCACCAGAGCTCCCCTGTCCCATCGCACTGTGGATGGTGGGTGCAGGGAAAATGCTCAAAGGGGTCCCTAGTGCCGGGTGGAGGAGCACAGAGCCCCAACACGCAGATGAGTCAGGGGCTGGTTATTTAGTTATTAGTTAGAATAACTTTGGGTTTGCTCAGCTGCTCTTTGCTTCCCTCACCCAGACCGTCTGACATCCCCTCCGTGGGCAGAGGAGGCAGGTACCCCGGTGCAGCAGAGTCTCTGCCTTCCCCGAGTTGGACATATCACTGCTGCTGCGGGCGTGCGTGTCAGATCACACCTACCATATTGGCTTCCTGTCCCCAGAACATCAGGTTTTTGCAGCTAATGTGTGCGGGGGGGTGTCTCCTCCCAACAATCCCCACCCCCAGCAGCATCAGGCCTGTGCTGTTCAGGGTTTTGTTAAGCCGTTTAGTATTAATTGATTTTTTTTTCCATTTTTTCTTTCTTTCCCTGGGCGGGTCAATAGCTGGATGCTCAAGAGCAGAGGATCTATCAACTGCAGACCAAGCAGAGGGAGAGGCAGGCAGAACTGGAGCAGAAATGCAGCCGGATCCAGCAGCTCAGACAAGACCTGGAGGCCAGCCACCAGCGGCAGGAGGAAGCTCAAAAGCAGGTAGGAGAAGATGTCAGTCCACTCTAGCTTGGCAGCTCAGGGTGGGAGGGGAACTTCATTTAATGCATTCACACCAATAGTGATAATCGACTGTTCTCATTTACATGGCAGCATAAGGAAGGGCTAAAGATGCGAAAGTAGTCTGTCAACTGGCAGTGAGGAAGGAAAAGTCCAGGGAACTGAGGAGACAGCTACAGCACTGCTGACTGAAAATAGGTGCTGGGTTTGCACTTGATTTGAGGGTGTGACTGCTGTAATGCACAGATGTCCTGGGTGTTGCTCCTGCTGCTGACCTGCTCGGAGAGAAGGGAACAGGGTGTCCGGCAGAGACGATGCCTCCCAGGACAGTGCTCTCCTAGCTGGTGGTCGCAGTGCCATGGAGTGAGCCAGGGGACGGGGCTTGTTCAGAGCTGTTCAGCTACGCTGCTGTGGATGAAATCCTCGATTTGCTGCGGGACATGCGGACAATTAGGGTGGGAGTACCCTCCTGGCCCTGCGGACCTGACCGGAGGCCTGCTGGGCAGCGCATGGGCTCTGCCCCTGCCCGGCTGCAGCTCCTCTCTTCCTACCCCTGTGTCTCAGAAGCTGCCAGGACTCAGACCGCTTGCTCAGACAGTGTATTCCTTCTGCATGCGAATCTGGCTTGGGAGAAAGTGCCGCTCCCCCATCTCCTCAGCCACAGGGCTGTCTGCCTGATGTCCACTCGGGCACCTGCAATCGTGAGCAGATTTTGGCCACAAGCTGTCATTCAGATCCATATGGCAAACAGAGGTGAAGAGAGCTGATCCTGAAAATCTGTGCAGATACTGCTGCTGCACACTTCAGGATTACTTGCTTAACCTGCATCTGTCCTCCGTGGTACCCACTTCTAATCTCTTTCAGCATCCCATAAGCCAGAATAATTATGTCTATTTTAACAACTTGATCCTTAAATATTCTCAGTGTTCTGGAAGACTAAACCAAGTACCCTTGGTATTGGATTACCGGGTATCGGCATGCTGGATAGCAGGAATGAGCTCAGCACAGCTCGGTTGTCTGAGCAGCAGCTCAGAGGGCAGCATTTTAAAATTTGGGGGGTGGGAGGCATCCCCTTATTATTCAAAGTGTAAACATTTTGTTTCGCTTAATTTGGTGATTATGAATATGTTCATATGAATATGAACAATACCGATATTGCATCATGTATTAATACGATGCAATGATTGTGTTAATTGCATTTGAAGGAAAATGAGGGATTGTTCCATCTACTGCCAGGTCATCTATTGTTCTCTATGTGTGTGTGTGAAGAGACAGCATGGTGCGTGGGCTGAACTGCGTGTTGGGAGCCCATTTTCCAATTGCCCACTAGTGAAGGCTGCGTGCAGGACGCTTGTGTGCCTTTGTCTGTGTGTGTGAATGGTGGAGGACAAATGAATCTGTGAGTGTGTCAGTGCGTGCCTGTGTTTTGTTCCGTGTATGTATATGGGTGACTGTGTATTGATTTGTGCAAAGACAGCATGGCAGGATGGGAATCTCACTTCTGTTTCTTCTCATAGTTACTCTTAGTCCCTTCCCATCCCATCTCATCCCTCCAGCCACTGATACTGAGTTCAGCTGAGCCTAGCTACTTGGTTTTGGTGTGAAAGTGGCAGGTAAGACAACACAGGTCTAAATTTTCTTGTACAAAACTCCCAATTAAAGCACCACACATCAAAATATAAACACTATTCTGGGTCAGAACAGTGTTCCACCTAGCTCTGTGCCCGACAGCAGCTTATGCCCATGCCTGGGAAAGAGCTCTATTTCCCTAGGAAAAACAGAGGAAGCTTCTGATATTGCTCCAAGATGCTTCCTCACCCTCTGTGGTGGAGGGGCTTCCTGAGCCCAAGGGAAAGTCTGTGTTCAACGGCCCTTGAGGAATTTTCACCCATAACTTGTCAAACTACTTTTGTAACTCGGATATTACCTGCCTTCTGCAATGGGAGTTCCACTGATTAGCCACACATGGCATGCAGAGCCACCTTCTTTTGTTTATTTTGAACCTGTCCCCTGACAATTTCTTTGTTTCATTGGAAGAGACCATGAACAGTCATTCCTTAGTCACCTTCCCTGTGACACTTCTGATCTTACAGACCTCTGTCGTGTTTCCTTTCCATCATCCTTCTTCCACACAGAAGGGCCCAATTTTTTTTTTGTTTTTTTGAGCCAGACACAGTTGCTGATAAATCCGCTGGTCTGGGGGCTTCAGGCTCCCATGGCTGGCAGTCCCAGGATGCCTGCAGCAGGCTGCACATACCAGAAGCACTCTGCAAGGAGTGTCAGGTGTAATTTAGCACTGGGAGCATGAGTTACGGTCCTGCCCTTTAAGGAAAGGCTAGCAGCACAGCCCTGCCTGTCAGCTGAGTCCCCCACCTGATCATGAGCTCTCCTGGTGAATGAATCAGAATTTGGCATATCGTTGTTTAATACAGCCCCCATGCTAATGTCTTTTTGAAATGAAACTGAGAAAGCTGTTAACCCCAGTTAGCCAGCTGTCCTCACTGTGACCTGGATAAATCATCATAGCAGGAGCTCTGAAGAACACCGCTCTTGCTGCTTTGGAAAACAGAGCTGGAAGGCAAGGACTGTGCTTCCAGCTCATGCCAGCAAGGCTTCCCCGCACCAGGGCTGTGCAGCGAAGGGACGGGTGTGTTCTCATGCCAGGGACGCTGCTGGTGCTCCCAGCCGGGTCCCGGAGCCTTGCAAAGGCTGGAGGGTCCACTGGCACGCTCCCTCCTCCGAGAGCTGCCCGAGGAGTCGTGGTGGGACGCTGCAGGGGGAGAAGGGCAACGTGCCGTGTCAGGGGGAGGAGAGGGAGGGCTTCCACAGTGAGCAGGGACTGGCTCCTTCCGCCACTCGGCCACTGGCCGTGTCTCATCGTCCAGCCCCGGCTCGTGACCACACGGTCTTCCGTGTTCATTCCCTTCAGCTGGAGTCTGGGCTTTCTCCAGGGCCTTCTCCTTCACCACATCAGCTCAAGGCTAGCTGCCTGCCTCTGGGGTGGGAAAGGATATAAAGAGGACAGTTTGGTGGCTACCACAGGGAGATCTAGGTCTACTGGAGCAGTGGTGTTTCTCTCCACAAAGCTGTTTTGACTCTGGGAGCTGTTATCTTTATAAAGGCCTCATTACTTTACCTGTTCTCACAGAGCTGCTGTCTTTTTGTGTGGCAGTGAGTTCCACTAAACAAGTTTTCTTTTGTTATTTCTAATCTGGCTGTTTTATTGGGTTTTTTTCTCCTGCATGACTGAGGAAAATCACACCACCAGGTGCATGTAGGAAACTCCTGGAAAGAGGAACAAAGCCATCAGTTCTCCATGTCCATGAAGGCACACACAAGAACTAATGGGCACAGCCTGCATCGCGAAATACTCGGGTTAGGAACAGTTTTCTAATAGGGAGGAGAACAAAGCACGTGAACAGACTGCCAGGGGCCTGAGGAGTCTGCATCACAGAAGATCTTTAAGGAAAGATAAACAAAAGAAAGGGCACTTGTAGCTTCCCCTGTCTTAGAACTGGAAGATGAGCTATCAACTTCCTGAGGTTCATGCCAGCCTTACTCTTTTCCTAAATCAATCCTTGCTCACACCTTGAAACCCAGCTCTGCCTTCTTCAGAGCCCCACTGGGACCTCCTCTAGTATTCACGGGATATCAACATATCATTTCCCAGGCTGATTACCCTTTCTAGCAGCGTGACTGCACTTGAGTCTTGGATGTGGGCTCGGGTCCTACTGTCGTTCGCCTGATCCCCACAAGGCTTAGTCCCAGCTTTGTGCTTCAGGTGGCAGCACGTCTCCAGCGGTGCTGGCTGTGTTCCTGTGCTGGGGAGCAGTGCTGGTCTGTGGGACCATTCTTCTACCTCACTGTTACACTCCTGCAGGCTTGTTCACAGGAGGGACTTGCTGGGGACTACACACTAGCGTTTTCCCATGTAAATGCATCCCTATGTGTCTTCCTCATTAGTGATGTTCCTTCAGCTCAGGGAGCAGGGTTCTCTGTTCTGAGTGCTGTGGGCTGGACGTCACCGTACGCACAGGAACTCTCCCCTCTGGAAGGGAAAGTAAGTGGACCTCTCTAATCTCTCATACTGGAGCGAGCCTTAGCGCTCACCTGAGCATACTGGGCTGGTGACTTGCTGCTCCCTCACACGTCCCAGCGAGCCTGCTATCCGGGATGCTTCTGGGAAAGGACGTGCTCTGTAGGGTGAGCGGGGCCCTCCGTGCAGAGAACCTGTGCCGGGGCCCTGCCTGCGGCAGACAAGGATCAGGCAACGGTGCTGCAGCGAGGGATGGAACTGTACAGCAGCCAGCCTCAGAGCTGCTCCCTTTAGTGACACATCCAGCAGTCTGCACTGCTTCAGCTGGAACTGGTAGGTGCCCTGTTTGCTGAGCTGCACCCAGGAACTGGCATGTGGAAAGCAAGACGGATTTTGCCCCTTTTACTACCTACTTATCTGGTCACAGGTTACCCAGTAGCCACAACATGTGCTTGAACATATGCTGAAAAGAGCAAGCAGAGCCTGGAGGACGTCAGTGGGTGATGGAGGCTCAGATACCACCATCTGTATGACATGTGCTGCTGTGCCTTAGGCCTTGGCCTGAGCACTGCAGTTCCACCCTTGGTGGTAAACATAAGAGTAGATGAGGCAGCGATGGGAGCGCAGATTTGCTATCAGAACTTTTGGGTTCAATTTTCATTCTCAGTGGAATAGCTGTGTGCAGTTTCTTACATGTGCTGCTTTGCAAATGAATTGTGCAGGACATGGCTATCAGTCAGAGACCACCTGGAGAGCAAGGTCGGCTTGATGCCATGTAGTCTTGCTGTGCTGGCCCCGGCGGTGTGGAGGTCAGGTCTGACTGATGGGAGGGTCTCACCTCTGCTCCCTGGGGGCTGTGGAAGTCTCTGCCCTTTGCCTACCTCCCGCTGTTTGAGTGCAGCCATGGAGCTTCAGTAGCTGGAGAGGCAGAATTGCCTGGACAGCA